TTCATTAGTCCTTTTGTTGTTTTTGAGTCATAGAGTCTTTGGTGTTTGAGTCTTGTTATTTCGCCTTTTATCCTAAGAAGTCTGTTTGAGTCAGGTCTGGTCTTGTTTATCTTTATGTAATTCTTGCTTTTCGAGTCTTGTATAAAAAATAAAAAAAAATAAAAGAAAAAAAAACACGTTTATTATTATTATATATTGAAAATCAACGAAAAAGATTTTTGTTTAAGAAAAATTCGAAAATGAACCAAAAAAGATGTTTGTTTTGTAAAAAAAAAAAGGGGTTAATGTACCTGAACTACGTAATGATCTGATTCATGCGGCGACATGATACGTAGGCAACCGACAAAAGGTGCGATCAAATATTTTTCAAATGACACTAAAGTAAGGGATCAAAATAAGGCGAGTGAAAGGAGGAAATAACATTGTCAATAAATAACAACTGATAAGCCGGAATGAAACATGAAGCCTTCCAAAAGCATATTAGAGATGATGATATTTTAGGAGCATAGCATATCTACGTGTGATTCTTATCTGCAAAATGCTTAACTCTAACACATTTGTTGCCTCTTAATTCAGTAAGCTTAAGGTGGTTGGTTTGTGGTGAAAACTGGCAACACATCATTACTTCACAAGATCTAAGGGAGCAGTGGTAATGGATAATAGTGATGAAATTGAGTTGGTCAGTGACAATCCGCAGGGTCAGTCAGTTGAGCAAGAGTCGGAGGAAATAAGAAAATTGAGACAACAATTGTCAGATGTATATCAAGCTTGGGTTTTCGGTCGACCTCCACCCCAGGGTCCTTCAAAGGGAACTTCCACCGTACCCCAGGCTACTCAAACACCGCTCCATGCAACAAGCGATCCAATTCTACCACCAGGGTATGTGCCAAACTACAGCCTCCATGCTGCCCCCGGTACCTCTAATATGTGACCTCCAGTCGCACCGGTTAGGAACACCCCTCTCGTCGTGTCTGGCGCACCGGTATATACAATCCTACCGCCACCACCTGTGACGAGGCCAAACAATGATCCACCATCTCATGCTTATGATGGCCAATACTATTCTCCACATATGGCTTTCGGGGTCTCGGCTCCATACAATCAGACTCCTCAGTACGAGTCACCAGTGGAAAATGAGAAGCCAGCCACGAGGGTTGAGCCAGATGAGATGGCTAGGAAAATGAAAAGTCTTGAACAAAATATAAAGAATATACAGGGACTAGGTGGTCACAAAAGCGTTTCATTCAGTGATCTATGCATGTTCCCCCACATCCATTTGCCACGAGGGTTCAAGACCCCGAAATTTGAGAAATATGATGGACACGGCGACCCCATCGCCCACTTGAAAAGGTACTGCAACCAGCTGAGGGGTGCAGGAGGAAAGGAAGAGCTACTGATGGCTTACTTTGGGGAAAGCCTGGTGGGGGTAGCTTCCGAATGGTTCATTGACCAAGATATCTCTCACTGGCATGTTTGGGATGACATGGCCCAGGCCTTCGTCAAACAATTTCAGTACAACATTGACATTGCGCCGGATCGTAATTCTTTGTCCAATATGAAGAAAAAGCCGACCGAAAGTTTTAGGGAGCATGCCATCAAGTGGAGGGAGCAAGCGGCTAGAGTTAATCCACCCATGGATAACCACGAGTTGATCACTGTTTTTCTGGAGGTTCAAGAGCCTGATTACTTTCAGAACATGATGTCCGCGATGGGTAGACCTTTTGCAGAAGCAATCAAAATCGGGGATATGGTCGAAAATGGCCTCAAGACTGGCAGAATTGTAAGTCAAGCTGCTCTCAAAGCCACCACCCAAGCTATCCAAAATGGGTCGGGAGGTTTGGCAAACAGAAAGAAGAGGGATGAAGGGTCCATGATAGCTTCGGGATCTAGGGAGTTTCAAAGAGGGGCATCGCACCCTTATGTGCAAGTTCAGCAGGGGCAATCCAGCTACCCTCAACATTATTATCCCCCGCCGATTCCTCAATACTCTGTGGGCCCACCATAATATACAGTGTTCAATGCTCAATCATATGCTTGGCCTCCCAATCAGTAGGTACGGGCACCAGCTCCGAGGGCCCCCCGACCTCAGCAGCAAAATTTTCGGGCACCTTACAATGCTCGTCCCAGGCAGGATTATGGTCGAGAGCAGAGGCCGGTAGAAAAATTCACTCCATTGGCTGAATCATATTCTAGTCTATTCCAGAAGCTGAAGCAAATGGGTGTAATTGGACCCAACGCTCCCCACCATATGCATCCCGATTCGCATGGATTTCAAGCAAATGCTAGATGTGAATATCATTCCGGTGCCCCAGGGCATAGCACTGATGACTGTTGGACTCTGAAAAGAGCCATAGAGAGACTCATTTCTGAAAAACTGATTGTAGTGACGAATGGCGAGGACCCTCCTAACGTGACAAATAATCCGTTGCCAGCACACAATGATGTTCATTTTGTTGGAATGATTGGCCGAGACCAAGAATACAAGCCGGTCGGTCGAGCAGAAATGACAGTGGGTGCAATTCAAGAAGGAGCAGGTCTGGAAGTAAGTCCCAGCTGAGACGTGCCATTGATTGTTAAAGGCGCCCAGAACTCAAATAAGGCAACTTTATTTGTTCCAAAGATCTCGAGGTTGGAAGTTCACTCTAGTGTTCCAAGCCCATGTTATATGTACTTGGAGGCCATCCCGTCAAAAGGGAGAATCAGGGAGGTACGAAAGGTATAACAGAGCCGATAGTAATCAAACCTGCCATGCAACTCCCTGTAACCAATACAAAAACCACTCCTTGGAACTACAACAAAACGGTGATGACCTACAAAGGCAAGGAAATCATAGAGGAAGTGGGGGAAACTGGAGGTTTTACTCGATCAGGGAGATGTTACTCTCTAGAAGAGTTGAGGAAGGCCAAGCAAATTAGAGAAGGCCATTCGCCAATAAAGAAGCCAGTCACTGAAGCAGATGCGGAAGAGTTTTTGAAAAAGATGAAAGTTCAGGATTACTCAATCATTGATCAACTAAGAAAGACTCCCGCTCAAATCTCTCTACTATCTCTTCTCCTACATTCCAAAGAGCATGCCCGTGTACTAATCAAGGTCCTGAACAAGGCACATATCTCAGAGGAAACCACAGTGAATCAGTTAGAGAAGATGGCCAACAGATTTTTTGAGGTGAACAGAATCTCCTTTACTGATGATGAACTTCCCGAGGAGGGAGCCGGGCACAATAGGGCTTTGAACTTGATGGTCAAATGTGAGGGTCATTATGTAAAGCGAGTCATGGTTGATGGAGGCTCAAGTGTAGATGTATGCCCTCTCTCTACCTTGCAAAGCATGAAGATCGATACAGACAGAATCCGACCTAGCAATGTTCGCATCCGGGCTTTTGATGGCTTAGCAAGAGATACCATTGGGGAGATCAACCTCACCATGACGATTGGGCCAGTTGACTTTGAGATTGTCTTCCAGGTAGTGGACATGGCCACTTCTTATAACTTTCTTCTTGGAAGGCCATGGATCCATACGGCCCGAGCTGCGCCATCCACCTTGCATCAGATGCTCAAATTTGAACATGACAGGCAAGAAATTATTGTTCACGGAGAAGACGAGTCTTCCATTTATAAAGACCCGTTAATCCCCTGTTTTGAGGTCAAGGAAGGGTCTGAGTCCATTGTCTATCAGGCGTTTGAAGTGGTTGTTGTGGACCATGTCGAGGAAGGAAAGCCTATTCTGCATCCTCGTCCTTCCGCCACATCTGTAATGGTGGCTGCAGTTATGATGAGACAAGGTTATAAGCCAGGAAAAGGCTTGGGGGCATCATTGCAAGGAATTTCGGAGCCTATTTCTCCGTTTGGTAACCAGGGTACTTTTGGATTGGGCTTCAGGCTAACACAAGCAGACGAAAACAAAGCCAAACACCGCAAAAAGCATGGATGGGTCTTGCAATAGCCTATCCCTCATATTTTCTACACTTTTGTCAAGCCACGACTCCGAGAGGGTCAAAATTCCTCGGCGCATGCAAACATTGATGAAATTTGCCATGGCCTCAGCGAGATGTTTTCTGAAGTGAATATGATCCTGGCTGGTGAAGGCACTAGTCGTGCCGATATGCAACTAATTGACCCAGTCACCATGCTCACCAACTGGGAAGCAACTCCTCTCCCTACAAGGAATGAGTCTTGGTAGTTTGCTTTTGCAGCTTCTTTTTTGTATTTTGGGTTACTTTCAGGGTTGTAATCCAAACATCTCAGTATGATTGTTTTGTTTTGATGTTAACCCTTCTATCCTTTCGAATTCAATGAAATGCAGTTCAGTTTCCTATTAAGTTTTCTATCTTTTCCTTTTCCTAATTCCTGTCATTTTATTTCCATTTCAGTTTTGTTAATGCCGGCTTTAATAATATGACATGCATGCGGAATTCACGCCCAGATCTTAAAAAGCTGTCTAATATCGAAATAATGCATCAAGAGGTTGAATATGATGAAGATGAGGTTGTTGAGGAAATAAAAAGAGAGTTGGAACAATTTGAAAACAAGCCTAAGCCAAACCTCAATGAAACTGAGCCGATTAATATCGGAAGTCCTGAAGAAGTTAGAGAAACGAAGATAAGCATTCACACTGAACAAAAAACCAGAGATGCCTTGATTCAACTTTTATTTGAATATAGAGATGTGTTTGCTTGGTCTTACGATGATATGCCGGGTTTAAGTGCTGATCTGGTGGTTCATAAGCTTCCTACGTATCCTGGTTTTCCACCAGTCCAACAAAAGCAACGAAAATTTAAAACAGACGTGAGTGACAAAATCAAAGAGGAAATAATGAAGCAACTAAGTGCCAATGTGGTCAGAGCTGTCAGATACACTACCTGGGTGGCAAATGTTGTGCCTGTGCCAAAGAAGGATGGAAAAACCAGAGTTTGTGCCGACTATAGGGACCTGAACAAAGCAAGTCCAAAGGATAATTTTCCTTTGCCAAATATCCACATTCTTGTAGATAATTGCGCAAAACATGAGATACAATCGTTCGTGGATTGCTATGCTGGGTACCACCAAATTCTAATGGATGAGGATGATGCAGAAAAGACCGCGTTCACCACGCCATGGGGTACTTATTGTTACAGGGTCATGCCATTCGGTTTAAAGAATGCAGGGGCAACCTACATGAGGGCCATGACTACTATTTTTCACGACATGATGCACAAAGAGATTGAAGTATATGTCGATGATGTTATCATAAAATCAAAGACACAAGCTGATCACGTGTGTGATTTGAAAAAGTTCTTCGAACGGCTTCGAAGGTATGACCTTAAGCTTAATCCAGCCAAGTGTGCATTTGGGGTTCCGTCTGGGAAACTCCTCGGTTTTATAGTCAGCCGGAGAGGCATCGAATTGGATCCATCTAAGATAAAGTCCATTCGAGATCTGCCACCCCCGAAGAACAAAAAGGAAGTCATGAGTTTGCTCGGGAGGCTGAACTACATCAGTAGGTTCATTGCTCAGCTCACAACCACGTGCGAGCCCATCTTTAAGTTGCTGAAAAAGGATGCCGCTATCAGGTGGACAGACGATTGCCAAAAAGCTTTTGACAGGATCAAAGATTATCTGTCAAAACCCCCTGTACTGGTCCCGCCTGAACCTGGTAGGCCTTTGTTTTTATATCTATCGGTGATGGATAATTCCTTTGGATGCGTTCTGGGGCAACATGATGCAACAGGCAAAAAGGAACAGGCAATCTATTATTTGAGCAAGAAGTTCACCAATTATGAGGTTAAGTACACCCTTTTAGAAAGAACATGTTGTGCCTTGACTTGGGTCGCTCAGAAGCTGAGACATTATCTTTTGGCCTACACTACTTACCTCATATCCAGAATGGATCCTTTGAAGTACATCTTCCAAAAGCCAATGCCCACTGGCAGGCTCGCAAAATGGCAAATCTTGCTCACAGAGTTTGACATCGTCTATGTCACTCGCACCGCGATGAAAGCACAGGCTTTGGCAGATCATTTGGCAGAGAATCCAGTTGATAATGAGTACATGCCACTTAGCACATACTTCCCAGACGAAGAGGTCAACTCAATAGGAGAAGTGGTTCCAGACGATCACCCTGTATGGAAAATGTATTTTGATGGAGCTGTCAATATCAAAGGAGTTGGGATCGGGGCAATCCTCATCTCACCTATTGGACATCATTACCCTGCAACGGCCCGACTTCGATTCTTCTGTACCAATAATACGGCAGAATACGAAGCTTGTATCATGGGTTTGAAAATGGCCATCGATCTGGATGTGCATGAACTATTGGTTATGGGAGATTCTGACTTGCTTATCCGGCAAGCTCAAGGCGAATGGGAGACTCGAGACATCAAGCTTATTCCGTACAGACAATGCGTGCAAGACTTGAGCAAAAGATTCAAATCCATCGAGTTCAGGTACATTCCTAGGTTTCACAACGAGCTAGCCGATGCCTTGGCTACTTTAGCCTCGATGATCCCTTATCCAGGCAACGCTCATATTGATCCGCTAGAAATCCAAGTTCGAAATCAACACGGTTACTGCAATACAATTGAGACAGAACCAGATGGTGAACCATGGTATCATGACATAAAACGATTCCTGAAAATGAGAGAATATCCAGAGCATGCCAAAGGAGATCAAAAAAGAACTTTAAGGCGGCTCGCCAGTGGTTTCTTCCTGAATGGGGAAATTCTGTACAAAAGGACCCCAGATTTAAACTTGTTGAGATGCATAGATGCTACAGAAGCAGAGCAGATCATGGGTGAAGTGCATTCGGGGGTGTGCGGACCTCACATGAATGGATATGTTTTGGCGAAGAAGATTCTGCGGGCGGGGTATTATTGGCTTACTATGGAGCGAGATTGCTTCAGTTTTGTTCGCAAGTGTCACCAATGCCAGATTCATGGTGATTTGATTCACTCGCCTCCTTCAGAGTTGCATCCCATGTCCTCTCCTTGGCCTTTTGTTGCTTGGGGAATGGATGTTATTGGTCCAATCGAGCCAAAGGCTTCAAATGGGCATAGATTCATTTTGGTTGCAATTGATTACTTCACCAAGTGGGTGGAGGCCGTCACTTTTAAAGCAGTCACCAAGAAAGCAGTGGTAGACTTTGTTCATTCCAACATCATCTGTCGCTTTGGTATCCCAAAGACCATTATCACTGACAATGCAGCCAATCTAAATAGTCATTTGATGAAGGAGGTATGCGAACAATTTAAAATCATGCATCATCATTCTACCCCTTACCGGCCAAAAGCTAATGGAGCCGTTGAAGCGGCAAACAAGAACATCAAGAAGATTCTTAGGAAAATGATCCAAGGTTCCAGGCAATGGCATGAAAAGCTGCCTTTTGCTCTTTTGGGATACCGCACGACTGTTCGCACATCTGTTGGTGCAACTCCGTATCTGCTTGTATATGGAACTGAAGCTGTAATACCCGCTGAAGTCGAAATTCCCTCTCTCCGAATTATTGTGGAATCAGAGATTGAAGACACTGAGTGGGTCAAGACCCGATTAGAACAACTGATGTTGATCGATGAAAAACGGCTAGCAGCAGTGTGTTTCGGCCAGTTATATCAGCAAAGAATGGCACGCGCTTACAATAAGAAAGTGCGCCCAAGGCGATTTGAGGTAGGCCAGCTGGTTTTGAAACGCATCCTTCCGCACCAGGTAGAAGCTAAAGGAAAGTTCGCCCCGAAACTGGCAAGGACCTTACATCATCAAGAAAGTGTTACCAAAAGGGGCCTTGCACTTGGTAGATGAAGAAGGACGGGTACCAGACATGACTATTAATGCAGATGCAATCAAAAGATATTATGTCTGATATATACCCACTGTAGAATTTTCACGCATTTATTTTCTCAAATCGAAGTGACGAAGGCTATCATTTGCTAGCTATTCCAAATAGGTGTCACCCTTTTGTTAATCCTTTTTGGGAAGTATTTGTCTTCCTTGTTTCTCACTTTTTAGAACATGTGTACTTGTAAAAAAGCCAAAACAACAAATCTCTGAGTCATTGAACTACGTCTGACCTGATTCCGAAAGGATACGTAGGCAGCCTTACCCTGGGTTCGGTCCCATCAGAACAAAATATCCATATTCCCAATACTCTAAAACTGGGGCAGAAGTTTGTTTTATTTCACGGTTTTTCTGTAAAACGGTTCCAAAAGTTGTAATTCAGTTCAAGGTTCATTTCGCCTTTTTACCTTTCAAGAACTTCTGATCGATGGTTTTTTTTTTTTTTTGAGAATGTTTGAAGTCCCCATGCCAAAGGCGTTGGTTAACCTCCCTCCTGCAGTATCTTATTTAATAAAAAAAAGAAAAAAAAAAGAAGAAGAAGAAGAAGAAGAAGGAAAAAAAAAGAGAAAAAGAAATGAGAGTCTTATTAGTGAAAACCCGTACGGGCACTATAAGGCGACGGTGAGCAGAGAAATGAGAGAGTCTTATTGGTGAAAACCCATATGGGCACCATAAGGCGACGGTTAGTAGAGAAATGAGAGAGGTTAGTTAGCGAAA